CCTGAGTGGGCCGAAGCCTACAGTCCAACACATAGGCTCATAGGCAACCTCACATCCCTATGATTCTCTATAACCATAGAAGTCTGATCTTGTCTGGTTTGAATTGGTCTGATATTTTATAGTCTGATCTGGTCTGGTTTGGGACGGAAAACAGTCCAAGTAAAAACATCCTGAGTGGGCCGAAGCCTACAGTCCAACACATAGGCTCATAGGCAACCTCACATCCCTATGATTCTCTATCTGGTTAACAACATTAGTCCCCGCATTTCTGCAATCTCCACCAAATGTTGAACTTTTTCTTTGCAGTCATTAGATCCATAAGTCTTTCCACTTTTGCACCACGGTTTTCGGATAACACTATTGTTGCCCATATCATCAACACATTAGCGCCGCTAGTGCTATAGTGCAGTAAGCCCTACCGTCACAAGCCATTCTACCATTACGAACGCTCTTACTGCCATTTTATCCTTACCAGCAATACTCTTTACACGATCGCTACAGCTGTGAGCATCTTCATCGTTGCATCCCACAATTTTTTTTCCACACAAAATTGCTAGAAGTTTCGTCTCTTATGCCTCTCAGCAAGAACTACCGTTAAACAGCACTAGAACAGAGGAAGCACATGCTCCATACATTCTGACATGTTTCATTTATCTTCTTTTTTTTTGCGATCAGTACATCTTAATAAGGGAGGATTTTGATGAATTGGGCCACATATTGAGCTCTGGCTCTTTACTCATAGTCGTGCAGCTACAACTACACGGTGATAATCGATTTTGTAATAGTGTTGTTTGATGTGAAAAGGCTTGATTTTCATGAGGGGTAGTGACATCGGCGAAGGAAGTCTTGTACTTTTCTTACAACAACAACATTATGCAAGTGCCACAAAGGCTTCTACCAACAGTTGGGTAAAGGGGGTCGGATGTACGCAGCTTTGGCTCTGACCATGATAAGTAATTAATCAACCTGTCAGACCATAATATTAATCAATTGAAGTATTATTACTTAATTATTAATAATAAAATAATAATACGTAGAGAATAAAAAACACGCTCTGTAGGATGTGGACCTATGCCGTTAGGTTTTGGAGACCTATGTTCTATAGAAATCCTAATAAGAAGTCAATAAGACACCGGCTAAGTCAAAAAGCTGTGATAGAGGGGAAGGACTAAAGGGTAACAAGCCAACCACAACACATTGACGGTAAGATGAAGATGAGATGGATGAGATTGAAGATCCGAGAGAGAATTGAATGAGGATGGCATTCCATTGTTATCAGATTCAGATTCGAATAATGATGATGAGTGTTATAATTGATGATGATTATATCATATTCTTCAATATAATCATCAAACACAAACAAGCTGACATATTAGGGAAGACATGAAACACAGTTTTATCTGTATTTTATATTTATCTTTATCTTTTCATTTTCATCTTACCTTACCCCACCATAGGTGGGAGCCTTTGCGGCACTGAGGTAAATGAAAATGATCTTTTTTTGTACCCCGATATCATGTATCGATTCATGTTAGCTACCACAAAATCTTTTGCGACTAAGACTTGGATGTTGATGTTTTGGTTTGAATGTGGGTATTGAACTTTTTTGCTCATCCTTTGGTGGTTGAATCATAGGTATATGGTGTCTATAATTCATGTTTTAGTATTTATTTTTGTGTCATGTGGCGACGCTATAAATGTGTCATTGCCTTGGCGCCAACACCGTCGCCATACGCTATGACAACTATGGGGATCACAACTATTTTTGTAGTGGAAAATTAAATATTACTTCATCCGTCCCAAATTGATTTGTCATTAGTGATTTTAAGGTTGGCTGCTGATCAAGTTGCATCTTCTATGCAAATAGTTAAATTAGTTTAATAACTAAAAGTTATATACTAGTATTAAGAAACTACATTAAAAGTTCTATAGTCACTAAATCCAAATTAAAATATAATAAAAAATCAATATCTTAAATGAAGTACATAAAATCAAATTGTGATGACAAAAAGTAGACTTTGCAAGACATTTTGGGACGGAGGATGTAGAAGGTTTTAGTCCAAGTAAGCATTTCTTCCTGGTCTTTTGATAAAAAAGGTTGTAGCCTGTAGGTTTTAAATCTAATGAAATCAGTAACCTAGGCTGATAATTCTTGTATTAGGTACATGGTGCTTGGCTTCCACCTTGGCTTGCAGTTCATTTAATACACTACCAGGTAAATTGTAGAAAGTTATGAGTAATTCTTATTTATATGGATGTTTGACTAAATCATTAACTTGCAGGCGTTATGGGAGAAGCACTGGCAGGAAAACATAAAACCTGCTATGAATGTAGTGCTTCAAAAGGTACCTTTGCATTGTGAGTTTGCTAGTAAACCTTAACACTGGTCCATCAAGCTGGTAACTTGCCCCATTTATCCTTCATGGATACTTTTCAGGCCATTGAGAAAAAGGCCCAGACTGAAGCATGGACTGCACCTCACTTGGAAACAATCAGAACTGTAAGCAAAATCCTTGTGATTAGTTTTATTGTACTTCTGCTTTACAATATACTTTTAAGAACAAAGCATGCTAATTTTTTTTGAGTTATCCTAGAAGTACGTTCATGCTTACAGAAAGTCTTACAAAAGAAGCATGTGATAGCATCATATTATTTTAGCACATCTGTACTTTACATTAACGATATATACAATAGCCACATCACATGTTTGTAAGTTTTTTATAAGTTTGTTTGTACTTGTAGCATTTTCCGAACTGTTTACATGTAGAGCAAGGTAGTACATATCCTATTGGCCATTTTGAATTCAAATGCAATGAGCTGTGCCAAATGAAACAAGTGGTCCAACAACAAACACAACAACATCCAAGCCTATGTCCCAAAAGAGTTCGAAGTTGGCTAACATGAATCGACACATAAAATTGGAGCTATAAAGATAAGAAAGATAAAAAGATAAGAAATATAATAAGATCAGATAAGATAAAAAAGATAAGATCAAGATAAAATATATAAGATAAAGATAGAAATGATAAGATAAAAAGGATAAAAAGAATAAGATAAAAGGGATAAAACGATAGAGAACATAAGAAAGATAAAGAAGTTAAAAGAGGATAAAAAGATGAAAAGAGATCAATCCTCCACATGAATATTCTCCCTTTACTTTGCTCTCTCCAAAGTTATACCCCTATCCAATCCAAGAAGAAACATACCACTCTTGACTCCTCTAGTCCGCGATTGTTTGAGTCTTCCTCTTCCCCTCCTTTCTTATTCTCCTCACCTCTCAAATCATTTAAAAGTGCATCAATCGGTCTTCTATAGACATTTTTGAACCACTGCAATCGTCCAATCGAAGCTCTCACATCTTATCTTCAATAGGTGTTACTCCCATTTTATGTCCGATTGTCTCATTCCTCAAGTAGTTTTTTCTAGTATGTCTGCACGTCCAATGCAACATGTGCATCTCAACCACAATAACCTTTTGAATGTGACATTGTTTCGTCGTCCATCACTCTATACAACAACAACACCCAAGCCTTAGTCTCAAAAGAATTGGGGTCGGCTAACATGAATCAATACATGATATCACCACCAAAAGGAAAAGAAAGAAAATAAAGATAAAAAAGATAAGCTATTATGAAAAAGATAATATTAAAAGAGATGAGTATACCCAAAAATGATAAAATAAAAAGGATAAAATAATGTTTATATATATATATATAAGGATGTTAGGGACCGGGCCTATTAGATACTAAGAATAAAGGACCGGGCCTATTAGAGTATTAATAAGAATAAAGTGTATAAGTTTAGTATAAATAGAAGATAGCAGGGAAGGGTTTAGTAGGCTGTTTTAGACTTTGTCATTTGGGACTTGGGAAGATCGAGAGCTAATCTCTTTCTTTGGGGTGCTTTGGCTCATTTGGGGGCTTCGGCCATACTCTCTCTCTATCGTTGTTACAGATTCTGTTCATCTTCAATAAAATTCTCAAATTGTTCTTGTTAATTTCTCTGTAACTTTACTGCTAACCTGGAGGGCTCTATCATTGGTATCAGAGCCTTTGATGCTGTGAATGGTGGGAACAAGGAAAATGATGGAGGGACGAATAGCTGAAGTAGAAACGAAGTATGAAAACCTGATCGCGATGACGACGACGATGCAGGCTGGCATCGCGGACCTCCAAAACAGACATTCCGATCGATCCAGGAGTAGGCCGAATCGGTCGCATCATTCAACGACATCGCATCACCATAGACATGTGAAGAATAGCGATAGTTCAGATGGATCAGACCACTCCGCTTCGCATAGCCATCGCGACTCACGCAGAAATCAGCGGCACCATCAACAGGTAGGTCGAAAAATTGACCTACCTATTTTCAATGGCGATGATGTGTTTGGATGGTTAGTACGGATGGACCGGTACTTCCGATTGAACAGGACAGACGAAGAAGATAAGATTGACGTTGCAGTCGTGGCCATGGAGGACCAGGCCTTGAGCTGGTTCCAATGGTGGGAACGACAAGCTCAACATCAAACTTGGAATGCTTTTACTACTGCTCTGTCCAAACGATTTCAACCAGAATTGGTGCAAGATCCTTTGGGACCACTACTCAGTTTGAAGCAGAAAGGAACGGTGAAAGAATACAGGGATAAATTTGAGACTGCCATTGTGTCCCAAGGCCACTTAACTGAAGAAGTCTTGAGAGGAATTTTTCTTAAGGGATTGAAAAGAGATATAAGAGCAGAATTGAAGTTACATCGTACTAGAACGTTGGCAGAAGTTATGGATACTGTGTCCGCGATTGAGAACAAGAATTCTGAAACCTTATTTGTGAAGAATAAGGATGAAGGAAAGAGGAAATGGCAGACTAAACCTATCATCCAGTCTTCAGGCCAGAAATGGGGAGATGAAAGCAGGAAGGAAGGTATCTAATGAGACAAGTCCCAGGCTATCCCAAGAAGAACTATTAAACAGAAGCAAGAAAGGACTCTGTTTTAAATGTGGTGAAAATTGGGGAAGAGGACATGTCTGCAAGATGAGGAACTATAAAATGATCCTAGTGGAGAATTCGGAGGGTGAAGCTGATTCTGAAGTTGAATCACTGGAATCTGGCAGGGATAAGACCACACCTCTAGAATTGAAGACCATGCAGTTTTCTTTAAGTGATGAGAAAGACATAACCCCTGTGAAAACCTTTAAGGTGAAGGGTAAACTGGAATGGAATGAAGGTGAAAACACTGTAAATGGATGGAGGTGCTACACACAATTTTATGTCACTAAGCTTGGTGGAAAAGTGGAGGATTCCTTATACTCCTTTTCAGGGGAATAGGGTGCAGTTAGGGAATGGAGAATGTATTCAAATCCGTGGCAGGTGTGCAGGTGTAGATCTGAATGTGCAAGGAATTGGTATTCATCAAACTTATTACTTATTGGAGCTGGGGAGCACGGATTTAGTCTTGGGAATGGACTGGCTAACAAGCTTGGGAGACACGGAGATTAACTTCCAAAGTCAGACCTTCAAATGGGAAGTACAAGGACAGAAGGTGATTTTACAAGGAGATGACTCATCAAGTGAACAGGATGTTGAAGGAGGATATGTTCAAAAGCATGAAGTAGCTGTCCCTTGTGTTGCAGCAGGCTGCACCTTGGTCTTCCCAAAATCTGCAGGAATCAAAGTTTTGGATCAAATTTTCTGGCCTCTGTGGAACTATGCTATGAAATACATAGAGCGGAAGATGGAAGTAGTAAAGCAAAAGGTCCAGCAGACAAATTAGTATTGGAGAGGGTGGGGTGCTAGGATGAAAGAAAAGAATAAGTTGGTGGCTGTGTCCTATCACCCACCTTGGGGGGCTTTGGCTCATTTGGGGGCTTCGGCCATACTCTCTCTCTCTCTATCGTTGTTACAGATTCTGTTCATCTTCAATAAAATTCTCAAATTGTACTTGTTAATTTCTCTGTAACTTTACTGCTAACCTGGAGGACTCTATCAAAGGATAAAAGGATAAAAAAATAAAAAAAAAACAAGAAATAAAATAAAATAAAATAAATAAGGGGAAAAGATAATACGAGATCACTCCTCCACACGAATACCCGTCCTCCACTTTGCTCTTTCCAAAGCCATACCCTCATCTAACCCAAGAAGAAGCATATCACTTCGGACTCCCCTAACCCACGTCTGTTTGGGCCTTCCTCTCCATCTCTTCCTTGCATCTTGTCCACACATCTCAACTCGTCTCACGCGTGCATCACTCGGTTTTCTACGCACATGACCAAATTGATGTTCGACAAAACTTACCCTTCAGTCTAGTATGCATATGTCTAGTCCTGTCAACGGGTCGGATACGGGCCGGAACTATAAATTCCATATTCATATTTGTTGAATTTTTTTTATCCAGATCCAGACCCATTTACCCTTCGGGTCTTAAACATATGTTCCAGATTTGGATCCTGCGGGTCTCGGATCCAGGCGGGATATACCCGCAAAAAAAACTAAATGACATATGCAAACCAATATATTTAATACTCCCTCTATTATATTTTGTAAGATATATTTCCTATTCACTTGGTCAACGCAAATCCATCTTAATCTCTTACTTTATATATCAATTTTTTTTTATCAAATTTGATTTTGGTTTTTGCGACTTTGTAAAGCGTTTAATGTAGTTTCTGAATATGTAATTCTTTTTTTCTAAAAATAATTTGAGTGCCGACAGAGATCCGTTTGATTTATCATCGGTCAAACATCGTAAATCGTAAAATGCCTTACAATTCGGGACGGGGGGAGTAAATAACAAAAAAATGTTCATGTTGGAAGAGATCATATATAAATAAGCGAAATGTTGTTCTATCCATTACTCCGTATGAACTATACAATAATATACATAGTATGTTATATGTATATTACTGAACTCATAGAGAACCTAGAGCAGTAACTCATTAGCAAAAATCCCATTATAGTCGGCCAACCACTAACTAAGCCTACAAATATTAAAACATTTTTTATGTTTGATTATTTCCCTTAATTTATGTTTAAATATTTCTATGTATATTGTGTATGTATATGTAAAAAATTATAACTATAATTATATCATCACGAGTCGGGTCTAAAACGGGCCGGAACTTAAAAATCCATATCCGACCCATTTTCTCTATCATGTAACGGGTTCGGATCCGAATCCGGGAAACGGTTCTAAATTTAGACCCATACCCTCAAAGAAAGTGCCGGATTCGGATCGGGTTCGGGTCTAGACCCGACCCATTGACAGGCCTACATACGTCAATCACACAGAAATCCTAATGCACTCTTCCATTTCATCCATCCTATTCCGATTTTGTGCATTAGTTCACTATTCTGAACTATGGAGCCCAACCAATGGAACATATCACTGATCGATATTTGCTTACCATTTAGGGGAATCTCACCGTTACCATTTCTTCTACCTCCACCAAACATGCACTCCATGTGCTCTATTTTGTGTCAACTCAGCCTGTTACTCTTGCTTTTCGA